TACCCTCGGCCCCGGTCGCCTCGCCCCGCTTCTTACACCCCCCCAGACAGGCCCGAGGCGTCATGCTGTTCTGCGCTCTCTTTAATTACACCCCGAAACCGGGACGCGTGACGTATTGCCGTGTGGCGAAAGGGACAAAAAAGCGACCTCGACTTCAAGCTAGAATCGCTGATCTACACCTCGGTCGTTAATCAACGCCTCGATCGGCGATACTTAATGTTTCCAGAATACATTTTGTGTGTGTACGAATAAGAATTATCCAAACATTTCAACCGCGCAGTCTTATATTTTCTTAGTTTTTATACACCTACAACTGACTAACAATAAATTTTTCAAAATAAATTTGTAATAATCGCATCTCTCAACATAAAACAATTTTAAACCTCATTGTTTACAGATAAAACATCTTAAAAGCAATCTTAAATATTTTACCAAAAGTTTTATTTACTGAGACTTGAATATGAGTATTTTTTCTGGAAAAGTTGTGTTCGAAATTTGTTGATTTGCTGAAATTTTAGAAAGAACATGAAGGATTTATTGGAAGAAAGTAAAGTCCAACGATAGAAAGGCCACTTAAAGCGTTGGCCCGGTCAGTGCTAAATATTTGATCAGAATTCGACTGGAATTGGTTTAAGACGTCAGCCGGTAAGCGAGGGTATGCTCATGGGACGAAGAAAAAATAGGAAGGTAGAAGGAGAAAGCTCGACGAATGGACGGACAGTTAGTAGTTATACGACGGAGTATTCCCTCGAGCTGAACGGCAAAATGATGTCCAACCAAACAGCTCAGCTGTCTCGGTCACAGCATTCTTCTCTTACTATATCAACCATCTGAATTCACTTTAAAATCTTCTCAGTCTCTCTCACTTATTCCCGCTACCTCTTTTTCTCGCCGGGCTATAGAAAACGAATAATAACGGCATTTCGAAGCAGTCCAGAAATAAAGCCAATTCCGATGCTGTTAGTTTCAGACGAGATTTATAGAGATGACGCGACTCAAGAGGGACACTACTCGCGTCGTTAACACAAAAAGTACGTTAATTATAAAATATGCATCTAGACTTATCATTTTATTTAACGTGTCGCGAGGATAAAGTAGGGTAGCGATAGTCGTTAAAATATTGACTTTTAAATAAACTTGAATAGTTCTTGTTAACATAATATTTCAACATCTTGAATTCAAGTTAGCTGCGATAAGTCATGTAACTTTCTTCAGTTATAACAATAAAGTCTGTACTCATTGCCGTTTTCATGCGCGAGTCGTTAGCGGCAGCGAACGAGGGAGGCACAAAGGTCGAATCGCAAAATTCATGCGAATCCACGTGGTGCCAAGTGGGGTGCATTAGCCAAGTTCCCCATTATCCACGCGTGAGAGACTCCTAAATTATCCGGCGCTCGCCTAGCGCCGATCTCGCCCACCCTCTCACGTTAGTGAGAAAAAGACGTATGACTGCCTTTTCTCGGGAACACCCCCCGACAGGCTTCGGGGTGAAGTTACTAACGCGTGCGTGATTTTCGCAATTGCAAAGGAACCTACTACATATCAATATATTTACGAGATGAATGTTCAGATTGTCGTCATTTTTGTCAAATCTCGTTTATTGCCCGTAAATTTTCTTTCACAATTTACATTTTCGATTACGTCATTAATCTGGTAGATTGATATTGAAAAATGTTACAATACTTTCTGACTAAAGTACCACCAATATCTTGGGAGTGTAGCCAATTTGATTCATTATATCTTTAATATAACAACTAAAGGATTGTAATTCGTCGGTAGTTTATCTAATTTGGATTTAAAAAGAATATCATGACGAAGGATATTAAGTAGAAAGTTAAAAAAGATCAAATGGAGAAGAAGAAGAAGAAGCGAATTGAAGACAAGAGAGAGAGAGAGGGGGGGAGGGAGGGAGAGAGAGAGAGGGGGGGGGAGAGAGAGAAAGCAGAAAGAGATTTGTATGTATGTATCTATATAATAGAATAAGTAAGATCGAGAAGGGTGATAGAATAAGACAACGACAGAAGACAGCGAGACATTGAGAAGAAAGGGGAGAGTCAGAGGAAGGGAGCGAGAGACAGAAAGAGAAGATGAGAGACAGAATCCGAAGAACCGCCAGGAAGATAGAGAACACAAGTTTGGGCTATCTCTCCAAGCACAGTTCCAAGGAGCTTCCTTTAGACTTTAGTGACGTGACGTCGCCTAATACCCTAATCCTTGCAATGGAAGCGCCATCGTCCGCCTTGCGTCGTCATGTTCTGTTTAACCATCTTCTTATGACCGCATCACGGTTATAAATTATTAATTAATTAACGAGTACATATTTTTTTTAAATACTTGCATCTACCTTAAAAAATCTAGTAAATCTTGCTCGACGTATTGAACAGTACAAATTATTGAGAGATTCAGCTATGCTTAAAGATATTAGAAACTGTCTACTACTTTGTCTATGTGTGACTCTTAATTACAATCAGAATAAATTAATATATTTAAACACCCGTATTACATTTATTGCTAAAATTTTCTTTTACAAGCCTTTCATTTAATTTGTATAAATAAAATTAAATTTTTGTGGCTATAACAAAAAAATTTACGTTGTTGGTATAATTTTATCCTTAATGTAACTTCTTACTTTGTGACGTAATAAAGTTTTGGATTAAAACATGGTGATGTAATAAGAATCTCTCATAGCGCAAACAGGGGAATGTTACATACATATGTAATGCGCAAAAATTAAAGAATACTTGATACCTCGAGATATATTAAATTTCGACGGTATTGACAATGTCGATTTACAAGAATTTAAGCCACATCTACCGAACTGCTCACCCACATACTAGGATTAGGCTTTCTAATTATTCCCTACAAATCGTAAGGGATGATATATAATTGGTGAGTGAACCAGGGCATCTCGATCCCTAACTCAAAAGAATTTTAGCTTTTTCTTGTGTCGCGCTCCCTTCTTCCCTTGTCCGGCTCACCCTTACTCAGTTGCACTATCGAAGGCCAGTTTCAAAAGAGCATTGGTCCGCAAAGAAAAGTGATAATGTCTTAAGCCGTCGGTGCGATTTAACTTCTGATTTTGGACGAGGGCACTCCCGCCATCCTCCTACCGCGGTCCATAGCAAGAGTTCGTCGCTCTAAACTCCCGGCTACGTGGTCTGAGGAGGGTTTAAGGTTTAAGGGAAGCTCTCTCATTCCTTGGGATCCTAGGGAGCTCCGCTAAGCGCTGACGTTGATCCTGCTCTTCTTCTGCCTCCGCTACCTCCAGGAGCTCGGGTTTATCTAATTCCAGTTGTAGGTTCCTCCTATCTGTAAACCTTACGAGCGTACCAAAGGGCGAACGTTGTGCAGTTAAAGGCCTAAAGTCTTACAAGTAATCAGAAAGATTGGTAATTTGCTAGTTTAAAATATAATTCGTAATTGTTAAGATATATTGCAAACATATTTTTTAAATATCGAATTCAGGCTGGATTTAATTACAATAAGATGAGCAATGTTAATAATGTCTATTATTAGTTATATAATTTACAGCTTGAGAATTTTTACTGTCAAACAAGTTACTATAAATGTTTTATTTTCGATGGTTTTGTGAAAGATTTAATGCACATGCGTTAATAATTATTTATATATTTGAAATTATGTACACTGTATTTCATCACAACATCGAATTCATAATGACTTTCGAAATCTATTTCAAGTTTCATTTCACACTTATCGCTTATCAGAAATTCTATACAGAGAAAAATACAAATCTGCTGTAAGCAAAGTTATTTTTATTTAAACCGGCAAAAATTTCACTTTTTCTTTGAAAATTCAGCTACGTAAAGAACTCGCGAGTTGTGAAGTGAGCAGATCCGCGAGGTCGGGACCATTGTCGCTTGGACTCCTAAGGTGGCAAAGAGAACCAGGTAGCACGTACATACCGCGACGCGTCAGCCGGAAGGGCGGTGGGGGGTAGTAATATATATATATGTCTATATATACGTATATATGTATGTACATGTAGACGCGAGTGGATATAAGCGGGAGAGGTGTACGAAGCACGTACCTCAACACACTGGGAAAGAGAGAGAATCCTCTAGGTGTGCACCCAGAAACCGCGTATCCCCTTCTCCCCGATAACCGAGGCGGGGGTTGAGGTGAGTGAGGGGGATGTGCAGAAGGGCTGGGAATCGTGCTCCAGCCGAGCTCAAGGGGGTGGACAGTGCGCAGAACCCGCCCCCACCTTTCGCGACGAAGCAGAAGCCGTCGACTGCCCGCGCAAGTCTTCATCCCCTCTGCCGACGACGGAAGATCGCCACCCCCGAACGAACTTAAACATAGCACAGTAGCTCGCGAGCACCCCGTCTGAAAGGGCTCATCGCGTACACGAGCCGGACTTGTGTTAAGTATATATATATGTATGTATACAATATATATATATATATACATATATATATAGTTATATATCTATATTGGCGGTTTGTCGAGCGCGCGTGTCCTCATTGTGTGCGTGCGCGCGTGCGTGTCACGCAGTGCTTGTCTAAATATCTCGAGTCCGCCGCAAGAACGAAGCAAGATAGAGTGTGCCCCGCTAGAAAAAGATAAATATCACGAAAAGAGCCGAGCGATCGTTCACCAGGACAAAGAAAAAGAGAAAGAGAAAGGGAGAAATACGGATGCATCTCAGCTGCATAGACTGATTCTTCGAACTCGTGACTACGCACTCGATAGTCTTTGGCAGATGTCAGGTGAACTCTCTTGAAAGACAGTCCCTTAGACTTTGAACGCGCTGTTTAGTAGATGACGAAGGGAGAAAGAAAAGTGACCTGTGGCAGGCGCTGAGGATCCTTCCCTAATGAAAGAGCCTAGATCCTGAGCGAGATGGATTACCTTTCTTGTTAGATTGCGCCGGCTTCGAAATCGACGATTTTGCACTCGTGTACTGAACGCACCCTTGCGTCTCTTGTGTCCGCATGGCAGAGCAGACTTGCTGATCCTCTGGAATTTTTGTGTTCCAGGGTGGAACTGACCAACGTGCCGGGCGGACAGAATGCGATGGCTCATCTCAAAAAGCGGAAACTGGAAGCAGAGTCGGTTGCGCAGAATCCTAAACAAACGCAGCAGCCGTCGCAACAGTCGCAGCAGCAATTGTTGATCGGCAAGAAGGGCTTGCAGACGAGCACGTCGCAAGAGATGGAGATGACTGACGCCGCGACGAAGCGGAGGAGGAAAAGCGTTCGTGACGATGACATACGAAAGACGATCGATGTTGTTGATCCTAACAAAAATATACCCTTGCCCCAGAAGAAGCGCGCATTTACAACGGGTAACTCGGGTAGTCCTGCTAGGAAATCAAGTAAGCACAGCGAAGAACCCGAAGACGATGAAACTCTGATAAGAGAAACGGAAGCCGCCTTGAAAAGTCTATCAGGCAGTTGGCCGGGACCTAGAGGATCTTTATATCAAAGAGGCAATTCAGACGAGGATAGATACGAGTCTAATTTCGAAAATCTTTTCGAGGAAAAGAAAGAAAATCCTAAATTGTCGCCCTCATCAATATCAACGTCTTCGACTACGAGTAATGACACTGGTTGTTCGTTGAAGGATGTTATAACTCTTCGCGGACAACAGGATCGAACGGGTAAGTTGCAACAGCAGAATAAGCAGCAGGATTCGAAACAACAGCATCCAACTAAAATTAAGAAAGATTTGGACAATCTGCTGAAGATAGAAAATGAATGCGCCAACATTCAGTCTCAAGTCAACAACGTTAATCAAAACGAACCGCCGAAAATTAGACCAATTTCCGTTCGCTCGTTATCAAGTAAAGAGAGGAACGAGAGGAACGTAGTGGTGAGCGCACATATTGACCCTCAGGGAAGGATATCGGACAAATATTCAAGATACGATCCACCGGACTTCAACGAATTAGTCGATGATTCGTCCAACGAACTAGAAATTGACATGTCGGATCCGGCCGCTGACAAGGATGAGGGCGATCGGGACAGATCGAATGACCGAGAACGGGATCGGACATGCAAAAACGGTCAATCACCCCAAAATATTAGCAGACAGCAGCAGCACCAACAGCTTTACACGAATTATCAAAGACAATATAACGATACCAACATGAAAGTCTCATCTACGGGAACTTCATCATCCTCATCGACACCAGCGAATTCTCCGTTTTCAGCAACATCTGCTTTTAGGCCGCCTAATACGGACCACTCAAAAGCATCGTGTCGTAGCTCTTCGTCGGTCCCAGTAGCATCTTCAACGATTCCACCAATCGGCCCGTATCCAGCTGCCGCCACATTCGTGGGATATCCGACGCCTGGCCCGACGATGCCAACACCGCAGCCTGTATCCGGTATCTCGCCCGCAGCCGATGACAAGCACTCATCTACAGTGTCACTCTTACAACTGAAATCCTCGAAGGAGGAAAGTCATCATGTGACAACCCACGACGTAGCTACCAATTCTGTACCTCCCAGCAAGAGTCCTACCAGCGGTCCACCTTCCGTCACGAGTCCCGATTCTTCGAAACAATATACAATCCTTCAGCCCGCGGGAGTGGGCTCCAGAGCAGCCAGTGCGATTCAGGATATCGCGAGGGAAGGAGTGGTGAGTGTTGCCGCTGTTAGCAGCTGCACCACCGCGAACAACGGCAGTGCGAGTAATGTCAACACCGCGAATGCGAACGGCAATGGGGTGGTCGGTAATAAAACTACCAACGGGAACAACGGCGCTAATGACAGCAACAGTACTACGAATCCTGCCGGGAATCCTAATGCAAACAGCATCACCAGCATAACCATTACAACCGTGTCGACGACCACTACTACGTCTAGTCCGACAGTCCCTGTTGATGTACCTTCGACGAACGGCCAGCAGGACAATGTCATGAAAATGCCAGAGAGACCCGGCACCTTCGATAGTAGCAGGCCGGGAATGTCTATGTCTCCGTCCAGTCTCGGCAGAGGTGAGAATTTCTTCTTTGTCGCGTTATGATACAATGTGTTCCTAAATATGTTCCTAAATTGATATTAATGAAACTACTACTGTTCCGGTCAATTATCATGATGAAATTACTTGTAGGCATTCTTTCAAATTATAAATTTGAAAAATAAAAGTTTAATTAAGAAATAAAAAAAATGAATATATAAAGGGGAGAAAATATTATAGAAACTAATATTGTGTGTTAGTGATACTGAAATTATTTTTTCAGTTGGATAAAATGACATTTATATGTTCTGAAAAATATTGGTATTTAAATTGATATTAATATTGTCTATTATAACTACTCAATTATAAATAAAATTTAAATCGATAAAAATAAATCACATAAGAGAAAGAGTTTTATCTTCGGTCAAGCGATGCATGATAATGTTCATATGTACATTTGTGCAAGTGAATTTTTCAGTTTTATATATATTTACTCAATTTTCGACTTTCTAAATACTATATTATATATACTATATATTTACTAAATTATATATGGAAGGTCTCGCTACAACGATACATTTTTCCTTGCATTCTACTATTTTATATATATTGATGTGCACTAGTAGTCTTATAAAAAAAATATGTACATTACGTATACAGGGGAAAGTAAATATAAATAACGCAGCTTCAAAATTAAGATGTACTGTACTTTAAAAAGATATCAAAAGATTAATGGTGTTTTGAAATTTATGCGGAATATAAATGTGCGCATAAAAATTGGAACTCTTTAAATTATAGATGGAGATAGTAATCGTAAGTCGTGGTAGGGTTACCGCTCGTGCGTTATACGTTACGAGAGGGGACAAAAGGCATTTTCGACTCTCTTGGTTACGCTGTTCTTCTCCCTTTCTCTCTTTATCTCTGTCTTTCTCTCTCGCTTTCTCTGTCTTGCTCTTTACGAAGTTAGGGGAGTTAGGGCAGCACGGAAAATCAATAATTACGAAGCGAGGGGTGATGACTCAAATGCTGAAATCAAGGTCTCTTCGAGCAAAATTATTCTCTGTGTCCTATGATACAGCCATTCCATATATGCTCTCATCATTACTCTCTTATTCGTTTTATTATTATCTAAAATGTTCTGATTTTAAGGAAATATATTTTTAATTAACACACAGAAAGAGAGAGAGAGAGAGAGAGAGAGAGAGAGAGAGAGAGAGAGAGAGAGTGTACTAGATTATTTTCGAAATAATAATACTTTAATCGCACTTAAATGCCTTTATGATCGTGAATAAATGATCGATAAAATTGATTTGATTCGGTGATTAGACGTGATAAGTGTAATACAGAGAAGGATGATGAGTTGCGCGATTTTCTTCCGAGAAGACTCAAAGAGTCAAACCTCGCGCGTCATACTGTACATTCGCCATAGTGTGACAGGTGGAGGCTCGAGTGCATTCCAGGGTCTTAGGGCAGCGAAGACACGACGTGTCTAGTCGGGGAAATTTGGGGTTGATACCACGTCATACGTATAAGCCGCAGCTGTCAGCGGCTGGAAACGTGACTAGCATCCCAGCCGCTCCAAGCCACCTTATTACCACCCTGTGCCTGGCTGCCTGTCCTCATTATCCCCTTAACGTTTTCTCCGGCCGGTGGCTGCGAAGATGATCGCTTTCAAGAATTCAATCTCTCGCATTTGATTTCACGTCTTTCACGCAACGAACGCATGAAGAATTAATTGAATAAATAACAACGATAATGTTCAAAAATAAAAAATACAAGTAATCTTCAAAGTCTAAACTGTTTATAATGTTTATGTAGGCTTATACGTATATCGAGTATATACAGCGTGACGACGATACAACCGTACCAGAGTCGGTCAAGTTAGGGTTTTAATCGAAAATCTATCTCCCTTCTCTCTTTTTCGCTCTACATTTTCTCCTTTCTCTCTTACTAAGAGTTGCTCTTGATCTCTTCGATTTAGCGTGACGATCGCGTGCGCTGTTTTTTTTATTCGCCGCACGCTCACATGTAGGCGCGTGTAAGGGCGTGTTGACACGCCATAAAACTGCTATCGGGAAATCCGTCGGCTGCAAAAACTACCCTTACCGCGTCGAGAAAGATCGGCCGCGCGCGCTCGATGAGGTCGAGTCGGCTAATAAAAAAATAAACTGCCCTGTAACTCAATTTTACGCTGCCTTTGCGACCGCACGCATAAAAAGGACCTTTACTCGCGCGCGAGGGCTCTACCCTCCCTTTAAGGGCGCCGCGCGCCTCCGTGTGTAAATACCTACTTTGTGATTGTTCCTCGTGCTGTTCTCTTTTTTTAGAACCTCCGATCTTTTCCTTATCCACCGTATCCGGCATGCGATTTAGCGCGGGAAAGTGCCAGAGGACTATTACACGCATCAGGTATCCCGGGTATCCCGTATGATCGTGCAATTTTATATCGACTCTCTCCCCCCCTCCTCTCCTCTCCCTCCCTCCCTCCCTCTCTCTCTCTCTCTCTCTCCTCTCTCTCTCTCGCTCTCCTCTCTAAAGGAAATTTCTATATAAAATCACTTGCAATTAAATTTACATAATAGTATGCTGCATAACTATTGTCGCTAACGCTCACACCGCATACTGTGAAATGAGTATTTACTTTTGCCGTGTTAATTGAAGTTTATTTCAAAACACATTGGGCTATTCTGTCAAAAACTTGTTATGCTTATCACAAGATAATGTTGTAAAAGCAAGAGACAGCGTTGTATAATTGCGTGCACCATTAGGTATCTTGCATTCGCAACGGCATCTCACAACATGCGATTCATCTATTTTTTTCGATTTTTGAAAATATGAAGAAGTTGTATCATGCAATTAACTACATAAATAACAGTGGTAAGATATATTCTTAAATATTAATGCATCGAATATTATTCAAGCTGTTCGTATACTGCGCGTTTTACAGTAAAATATTATAAACTTTAATCGTATTAATTGTATCTTTTCGCATCTCTTTTTATCTGGCAAAGCAGTAATTGATCACCGACGAAGCTAAAGTATACTGAAAATACGAAAATTTCAAGCAAACGTACAAGTAAATCCAATTTATAATCTAGAGTATGAAACGTAGGCATTATTTATTATCAACGTGCATTTCTGTTCTGGGGCTCGCGTGAATATTCATCCATTACACGTGAATACTCAATTGCGCTGATTAACGACTTTTGACGGCGAATTAATAATTAGCAACCAGCAGGCGCTCAATTCTCCCCGATTATCTTGACGACTGCGATGATTTTTCGCGACGCCAAACGAAAGTCTCGGCGCGTGTCGCGCAAGCTGGACGAATAAAACAATCCCGGTGTTTATATACACGTCTACCCCTTCCGCGGACCCTCACGTGAAATGGCTACAAAATAACACAATTACAACGCGACCACGGGCTCACCCTCGATGACCGGCGTCCTCGTTCTCATCCCTTGTGATCCCGCTTTTTTCTCTCTTCCCTCCGATTCTCGTTGCTCCATTATAGCACCGTTGTAGGGTAAAAGAAATGAAAAGAGAGGGACCTGTGATAAAGGGAAGAGGAGGATAAGATCTAAAGGGAGACAAAGAGAGCGGAGATGGTGAGAAAGAACGAGAGAAGATAGGAGAAAGGTAGGAACGAAGGCAGGTCTGACCGACTCGTTACAAGTCTATTCAGACATCCGGAAAGAACAGCGCGTGCCGGTATTCATTTTGTTGACCGGAACCATTATCTGCCCCTTCGCTTGTTTTCTCTCTCTCTCTCTCTCTCTTTCTCTCTCGCTTCTCTCGCTTTTTCTTTTCAATCCCGAGTTTAGCCACCGACGTAGTCGCTTTAAAACCTTACGGCTAATTTATTAATCCTACGAGGGCAACCGCTCGCCCTCGGTTATCCGGTAAATCTTTTTTTACCCGGCACTAATTAAAAACCAGGAAGCTTCAGCGATCCTTCCTAGAGAAGTAAAAATAACACTGATTTCCTCTATTGCGAATTTAGATTCGTGGCGCGTTAAATTGATGCCCGCTGTGCTTTCGCATTTTTCACTACCGTAGATCCATTTTTACTCGAAAGATACAATCGAGCATTCTTTGACTTTAATCTCTGAGAAACTCTGAGATTTCGAAACAAAATTAATCCACGAAGCTTCTTTTCAAGAAATTACGCGGGACTTGGAACAATTCCGACGGCATGTGCCGTTCAACTTCGGAACTCGGGGAACGTCGTGGTCTGCAAATAAAGCATGCCGCTAATGACGTCACGTATCGTAATCCAATTTATGGGGAGGTGGGTGAATGTGCCGCTCGTCTTAAGAAAAAGGCGAACACCTAAGTAGGGATCGACTTTTCTTTTCTCCATCCATCCTTCCCGTCGGTTCTCGCTCTCCTGAAACGCGAAATGACGACCTGATGAAGTTTCTCGGCGTCACGGCACTCGATTGGCCAGCCCCGACGTAGTTGGCTAAGGGATCAGGCCCGAGCGGAGGATTAGTACACGACAAAGTTTATAAAAGTGCGCTCACTTCAGGAGAACCCCCGTCTCAACTAAAGCTGGCCTCCTCTTAAGAGGTTCCTTCCAAGTCCCTTTTCAAACCCTCTAACACGCGTGATAAACCTATCTATGTTTTGTCGCGATCACAATATATCTGTAATGACGTCTGGCATATAAATGATCTCGCATAAAATGGTTCTTCCGACTTTATGAATTGGTAGAAAAATTTATATCAAAATCTAAAAATCTATATTTATGATTAGGGAATGGAAAGTTACTTTTTAAAAGTAACAAGTTACAGTTACTCGTTACCGAGTAGAAAAAGTAACAAGTTACCGTTACTAGATACCGATTTTTAAAAGTAACTCGTTTCAGTTATTGTTACTTGAGAAGGTAACTTTTCGTTACTTTTCCGTCATTTTTTTGTAAATCTACGACCGCCAATCACAGCGGATGGGCCTAGGAGCTTCTCTAATCTCTAGTCTATGCACTGTAAAAAATTGTTGTGTAAAATTACAACTATTATAGTGGATAATTTTGAGACCCACTATAATAGTTGTAAACGTCCACACGTTCGTAAATTTGCAATATACAAATAAAAATAATTTCTTGGTTTGTAACTAAGCAGATTGTGGAAGTATTGAGGGGATGGGCGGAACCTAATTATAAAATCTTGATTAATAAAAATTAAAATAACTTATTACTTTTTTTATTATGCATAAATGGATACTGTATTAAATGAATTTATGTAATGTCTTTAAGAAGTTACATGTTATAAATCTTCTCTATTACGATCAATATTACATGAAAACGCTAATTGCCCGAAGGGCCTAAGTAGAATTGTGCCTTTATTCCGCCCATCCCCTCAATTACAATGTGTATGTGTAGTTACAAGAACGATAATATGACAACACATTTCGCACTATATATTATTATACATTTAACAGCAATATGTAAAAAATTTCTGTTATATTACGTAATATTACTAAAATTTGGATAATTACAGAAAATATTCAAAATATTCTGCTATTTACATAATTTTTAATATAAAATAAGATATATTTACACAATAAAATTTACATAATTTTTGTGGATTTACATAATTTCTGTAAAATTGCATAATTTTTTATATATACAGGACTAATCATGTAATCTATTTTACATCTATTATACGTGTAAAGAAATTTTTTTACAGTGTAAGTGGCTTGTGTCGTATCGTGTCCAATCATGTGCAAAGTAACGATAAAAGTAACTGTAAAATTCGTTACCGTTATAAAAAAAAATGTAACTTTGTTACCGTCTTGAGTTACCAAAGAAAAAAAGTAACGCAGTTATTAGTAAAGTTACCAAAAAAGTAACTTGTAACTGTAACTTCGTTACAAGTATAACGAGTTACTTCCATTCCCTGTTTATAGTCATAAATTGTTATTGATATTTATTTCTTTTTGCTATTTTATTACATTGTGTATAATTATTATTATTATTACTTTATATGATTATTATTAGCTTACGGTCTGATGTAACATAATTATAAAAAAATTAAGAAATGTAAAATGTCTTATGAAAGCTTTATGAAAATAATGAGTCCAATGATTAGGAACAAATTATTATTAAATGGATGTCTCTCATGGAAGCTTGAAGCTATAGCATGTGAATGGAACATAGTAGTACCTGATATAACTTTCAGCCACTGAAAGATGATTACACTGTCTAACGATTAGATAGAAACCTTTAGTTACATTTATCGTTCACGATTGAAATAAAGAGAGCCTTGCCGAAGGGTCTCATATTAACCGATTGGTACTTCTCGGCTACCTGCAGTGCACTAGAAACCTGTAATTGTTTGGTCACGCGAGGCCGAACGGGAATACGAACGCGATCATACGTGACGAGCACTATACCCACCATTAAGTTAGAACTAGCGCACGACAGATGGTACGTACAATTGGTCGTTTAGGCATGCCCGTCTGGCATCGGTCATACTTTCGTGTCGCAAGAAAGGACTTAATAAACTCTCGAAAAAAATTTAGAAATTACCGACGCGAATTATCAGCTCATACAGATCTCTAATGGTAAGGATTGTGTGTTTTTTTTTTAATAAACCCTGACGAAAAGCATCGTGTCGTGCATGTCTCTCTGCGACAACTCACTCACAAATGGAGATATTCGCAATTCACGAGCAAAAATCTACCAACTATTATCGAGAGTGAGATTTTTTCTTTACTCGGTCGAATAATACTGACAAATAGCAAATGATATGGAAAATAATGCATAGATAGGAGGAACGAAATATCACGTGACGAAACTTTTTCCCCGATCGCTGCAAGTTTCGTTCTGTCGCGCGGGAATGAGGTATCTATCTGTTCTTTGTTTCACGGACAGTTGTAGGCCGGCCACATACCCCGTGCTAATCCCGAAGGCTTAGTCACGGGACAGAGAAATCCCAGAGGCTATTCACAAATGCGTAACTCGTGCGACGAGATCCAGGCTGACCACACGCGAGGCCATTTCCACCCTTCTGGACCGTCCTTTCAACTTTCACTTGGGGCTTCTCGCCACAGGATTGGGGAAACTCATCCTGAAAAATGCTACTAAATAGCATGCACGCCCAACAAAGCCGTACAAAAATTTTTTGGAATCTCTTTCCGAAATGTATCTCTAAAGGTTATTGCAGACAGAGGGATTGAGAGCATAACATTTATTATAAGAATTGTTATTATTACGAAACGTGAAAAATCATATACAAGCAACATTTTTGTATTTTGAATATACAATATATTCAAAATGTGTGTTTATCTTCAAACATTTATTTACATTGTAATTAATAACCATAAAAAATAAAACATAATTAGATGCTATAAAAATACAAAAGTTTTTAAAATTCATAGGCACGTTAATCTTAAATTTCTTTATATTATCAAATTTCGACGAAGCGATTCGAACATATGAATTAATTATTTTAAAAATTATTGTGCAAAATATAATGAAAATGATGTATTACATCAATATTATTTCTGCTTATTGCATTTATAAAATAATTACATATAATTTACTTTAGTACAAATAATTTTAATTGAGGAGGAGGAGGGGGAGATGAAATTTTTACAAATACGATTTTAATATGAAATAGACGTGTCTCACCATACTTGCTTGCAGTCTTTCGCCTTGGCTGTTCAATGTTCTCTATGAAGGATAACGTGATATATTGGCAAACGGGGAGTAAGCTATATTCTGGTTCGATGTGCAGAATGAAACTACGCGACGATGTCGGACACGTCGGCTGTCAGCCATTCAATAGTTAATTTCCATTCAACTGCTCACGTCGCTAGCGGTACCGTGCAAGCATACCGAAATACCATATTATTTTTCATATACTTTCCAATGTTCGCCTATTTCTTATCACATATTTTCATGTTTATGATACAATAGTTAATCAATATCTCTTTAGATATATACAGCTATTAATTATAAATTATTTTATTTATAAAACAATATTATTGTTATTTATCAAACAATATTTATTAAATAATATTGTTTCTCTTTATATAATATTCTTGATATTTAGAAAAGATGAAAAACGTTTCATAAATATAGTGCTGGTGTAAAGTTTCTTATCTAAAACGAAAGACTCTGTAAAGCCTTTACATTACAATAATGTCTCCGCTTAAAATATTCGACGTGTACGCCCATTCGAGCAACGGAAAAAGCAGATTGCATACGTCAATTGGCTGCAAGTGCAAGATTATGAAACCAAATGTAACAACAAAGCATTAATGCGTATTAAGCTGACGCCGTATTCCGGTCGACACGTTCCTACCGCGAAACAACACTCATCGACAGTGTAAATATCCAATTTATTCAGAATTACTGTCCGCTTGTGTCGGGATCATCAATTTCGATGCAGAAATAACGCGTTGCAGAGACAGCGTAATGCCGAGCACTCGGTATTATCGTATAATATATAGTTAATATCAAAATGCAATTTCCACTATCACATTTTCAGTTTTTAAAAATTTGACTTAAAATTCATTATATCTCCATTTGTATCAATTAACGATTATATGTAGCGCTCAAATAAACTAATAATTCTTCTAACAAATAATTCTCTATTTCCTATGCGGATCTATGGAATATGTTTAGAAATTTTATTGCATCTCCTTAAGAAAAAAGTGATGCAAGTAAAAAATATAAAATTGTTTAGAAAAGAAGAAAGAAAATTGTATTTTAAAATTAATTATTTATAGCAATATTAAACATAAATTAACTAGAATTAATCACAAATTGCTTCTTTTAAGTTTTAAGCATATAGAAGTAATGTAATATTAACCTTGTTTTGAAGTTATACATAAGACTCCTAATATTATCCTCCTATTTTGATTTATTATTTTCACTGTTTTCAATTTCTTGTATTTTTTATTTGAATTCAACTTATATACTTTTCCTGATTGAAAGTCGAAATATTTAGAACACAGTTCGCACATAATACGAAATTCACAAAATTTCGACCTATATCGCTTTTCTTGTGGAGATGTGTTATGATTATAATAAAATAAATAAATTGTGTGACTAATTTAGTTTAAAGAGGCAATATTTGAGTAATACATTTTGCACACTTACGTATTAAAAATTTAATTAGCTCTAATCCTAGATAGGAATAAGCCTTATATAGAGCTACCGTATAAGCTTATGCACGGGTAAAAACTAGTGTACATCGTATCTCATGAATATCTGAAATGGCATTTAATAGACTAATATCGGGCTCTGCGTGGCGATTTGATTTGTTGCAGAGGGCAACAAGTGCCCGACCCCAGGCTGCACGGGGCAGGGTCACGTGACCGGACTCTACTCTCACCACCGCAGGTAAGCAATTATCGGTAATTAACCTGCGCTCCGCACTCAGCCACGGCCGATTACACACCTACGCGGTTTTACGTGGAGAATCGAGCGAGGTGTTATATAGAAACAGACATCAATAAGCCAATTCGCGATCAGCACAGTGAATTCTATTGTATTACCGAAATAATAAATATGCACACACATCGCGCGAGCATATACAAAAAAAGATGAATAAAAACTCAAAGAAATTTTTCACAATTTTAATACGTGCTTCGCATATCTTTTAAAAGAGAAAAGTTGAATATACTTAAAAGCTTAAATCCTATTAATCTTAAACATTGTTAAACAGTTTCTCTGCTTACAGCCTTTCTGGATGTCCACAGAAGGATAAATTAACTCCAGAGAGTAAGTACGCTTCTATTAAACTAATTACTTCTTATTGTAGCTAGATAGTGCATCTTCTTTTTGCGAGAGTGTCTTTTTCTTAACGAAGCGAGGAAGTGAAGAATGAATCATTGTTGTGGGTTATTTAAATTTCAAAGAAACTTCGTAATTAGTCAACCTTATCAATGTAAATAATATAATTAAATTTAAATTTATTCGAACATTTTTAATTGTGATCATATTCCAATAAATATCTACATATTCCAAATATCATACGTGCTTTTTAAATAATGTTTGTTTTTTGGGATACAACTGGAATGTTCTATCTCTAATTTGGTTCGCTTTTTCTCCAAAACCATTCTCGATCAGCCTCGTCATCCACAAAAGGCCATTGTTCCATTTCCACGCTTCCTCGCCTCATTAAACGCAACAAAAATTGTATCTTCGATACACGAAGTCGAGTTAGAAAGAGAAAATGGATATTTTTCAGCGATGAGCGCGGTGCACGCGTCGCGTATATGCGTGCTGTGCGTGTGCGTTGCGTGTGTGTATGCGTGTGCGTGTATATCTGTCTGTTGTATATTCTTTGGGCTTTTCCTTTGCGGGGTAGAGAGCTTTATTTATTGCGTTTCTTTTCGTTTTATTATTTTCCGTTCTGTTTGTAGTTCATTATATAGTAGAGAATTATATCACCACACTCTCGAACTTGGTTGATACTGGTCGTGCCTATGAACCCTCTGGAGAACTCGAGACACGGGCGGCGCGATGGGCCCGGCGTATGCGCACACGTCGGACACTTCACACACAGAGGACACTTGTGCGATTGAGTATAATTACGCAAAGAATTATACGGATCATCTAGCTTTCCATTGATGTGCGAATTTCCGCAACAACAGATTCCACCCTTCCCCCCCCCTCTCTCTCTCTCTTTCTCTCTCTCTCTTAAATGACAAATCGAGCCGCCGCGCAAAGAACGAAACGTTCAGCCGACTACGTGTAATGCAAATGTGCATACAGTCACATAATTTTTATTTCTATCTGTGATAAGCTCACCTCCTCGGACCCTTCGTCGAGAATGCAGGATCTCCCAAGATATCTCGAGCCTGAGCGTTTGCGTTTGTTCGCTCGCTCGCTCGCGTACGACGGACAACTCTCGTTTTCATCGACGTAGCACACTACCTCACACAGATTGCAAGTGTTGTGTTATAATTTTCTATCGATTAATTGATTGTCTTTACTTGTGTTTCTCTCTACCCGCTCGGTATACTTAATTGTATTGTTAATTTGCGTTCCACACATGATGTGACGCTGTGTACTCCGCCTTTTGTTCATTTTCCGACTACTTTACTTTTTTTTTTTTCGTTTTCTCCGTTTTATAAACGTGTACCAAACAAGCGGATTTCTTTTTCTTTCTTTCTTCTATTCGAGTCCGTTGCGCAAAATGACACACTTGTCGCGCTCAAGACTGTCTCTCCCTTTCTTGTGCCTTTTCGATGCCCAACACGGAGAATTATACTCAATGCATAAAGGCAGCTCATCTTAACGATATTTTACCACACCTGCCGCGTGCGTGTACGCCGCGTCTCTCTTTCCCTCTCTCTCTCTCTCTCTCTCTCTCTCTCTCTCTCTCTCTCTCTCTAACTGTGTGTACGCGCGTATGTACAAACATGCCAAGAACGTGTGTCTGTAACCACGCCACGTGTCTCTGGGTTCTCGCAGTTCTGGCGATGCATGAGACCATATTGAAATGCCCGACGCCTGGTTGCAACGGTCGCGGTCATGTCAGCTCCAATCGGAACACACATAGAAGCCTGTCTGGATGTCCCATTGCCGCGGCCAATAAGCAGGCCGCACGCGAGGCACGACAAAAGGTTCAAGGTAAGGCGGTATGCTCTTCACCGTGCGTGTCCGCAATACCTCGGACACGAAAATCTCGTTGGTGCGTCCACGCGATGAGATTAACGCTCAAATGCTGGGAACAAGATGAGGCTTATAATTTTGTGCGTAAAACACGTATCTCGCGTTTCTTTCGCACTTTATTGCGTTTGCGCGTGTCTTGATTGCATGCTTTTACTGCGATAAAATTGCGATAAACCTGCTCCGAAGTTTTCATACGATTTTACACATTTGCGCTTACTGATAGAAATGTAGAGGATTATTAATTGCATACCGATTACAAAATATCGTTGATAGTTTTGAAATAATTTTATAATTGTTTTCACTTCCTTCACTCTCAGAAAGGATTTCTAATGCCGAGAAAAAAAATATTATTGACGTATTTTAATTTTAGCTCAACTATATGCAGTATACAATTATAACTATATTAAGATTAAATCAATAATTTTTACTCTTAGTACTTCCTCGAATAAAATAAGATCGACGTCTTATCTTGGGTATAACACATATAACAAGTATAACACATACAAATTTAGATTTATATATTCTTACATTTTTAGAATAAGTCTATCCAATGTTATATACAAGATATTAATTATTGAGCCAACGCTATCATTATAAAAAGAGTCCTTATAAATGGTTATATGTTTATTTCAATATACTTTGTTTTCAAGAAAGTGTTACATTGGCTTACATTCTTTATATTTTTAGTCGTAGAAATTACACTCGTTTAGTTCATTGCTCCTAGTATCGATACATTAAATTTTCATTAATTGAGCCGCTTATTTAATGGTTTAATTTTATATACAAGATGCTATAGTATCATGGCAATGAAGTTCTCGTGGTGTAGCGTACATGCTAGGTGAGAGACATGCGAAACGAGAGATCCCGAATTTCGAGTCCCAGCCGAGCCCAATTTTTCGTTGCCGGAAAATGTAAGATTACTAACATTCTGCAAACTTCTTTCCGCAAGAATAGAATAAGAGATTTCCCTTGATATCTTTATTCTAGATTTTAGAATTTTTCATTTAAGAATAAAATATTCTTTGAAGAATACATACGATTAGCACTATATCGATCTTATTTTATTCTAGATCGAGTAATAACATTAAATATAGAAATATTTTCTGTGGGTGTTAAGTTAGATTTGTATTTTTTAATTTTTACGTAGATTATGATTCGACTCAAAGATTCTAATACAGCATCCAGTATCAATGATCCAGTTACATACAAACACCCACACACACAAAATAATTTCAAAAATTTTATATATAGTCTCTATATAATATGTGTATATGAAATAGACTACCATTTTATAGATATTATATATGTATGTATAAAACATTCATGATTTTTAGGCAATATTCAAAGATTGTAGAAATAGAATATTATGTGTTATGTATATTATTCAGAACAAAAATTTATTAAGCTTTTATCTTCTTAAACTGAGCCATTGTAAATATGTTACCAACCGATAATCACATACATGCTATTTAAAACTACTTAGTACTAACGGGTTATAGTGCTTCTTACAATTAGTAAACAAGAGTAAAATAAAAATTTACAAACATTTTTCATTACGATGATATTTTTTATTTTATAAAATTCTTTAGTTGACGCACTTCGTTACAAACTTCTTTATGTAAAATTTACTAAATACGCAATCTCCTGTGATAGTGCCGGGAATACCACCGGAATACATCAGCACGAATTTGTTACCCCCTTCAATGGACACGAAGAGCTATTCGCAGTACGGTTCCGCAACGCAAGACACGAAACCTGTACTAAGCAGTTTGACCTACGATTACTATTCGACAAAAAACGCTGTGATTAATGTGAAGCCTCCGAAAACGCCGGAGGACAACAACACGTCGCGTCCCGCGAAGGTGCCCAAGACAGAGAATATGACTCTTAGCAGCAGTTGCTGCAATACATTATCTATGAGGAATCAAAATACGGGTGAGTTGTTGGTCCCCAAGACGGAGGATGCTGCGTCTTGCAGAGTGAATTCGCCTCCGCCACCACCGCCTCCTGCAGTACGACAAACGTATGATTCTTACATGAGCCAAGATTCGAATTCCTCATCCATGTCATCCATGGACGCGATGGGTTCGAGGCCATCCATAGGAGCGACAATCCATCATCCAAGCCAGCATCCGACACATCACGTTCTGCCAATGCAGCCCGTCGCCTATCCGATGCCGATGGTGGAAGATACCAGGATGAGCCATCAAATGTCCCAAAGGTCTCCTTATGAGCCTAGCGCCATGATGGCCGCCGCAGCGGCCGCGGCAGCAGCCGCAACCACCACAGAAGAGCTTTATCATCATAGATCGGCCGAACACGCGAGAGCGTACATGCATCCTGGTACCAGCAACATCGCACGACCAGTAGTGACGTATTCCAACGACATAGCTGGCAGAGGCTACGAGAATGCGGTAGTCAGTGCAGCCAATCATCGACCTTATGATCCCGGTACCACTGCGACATACGAGAGATATGATACGCAGTCTTGCGCACCTATCCCGTCTCAGCAACAGCAACAGCAACAACAGCAGCAGCAGCAGCAACAACAGCAGCAACTTCATTCAAGGGCAAATATGTACTATCTGGGACAAACCGGCATGACGCCAGAGGAGCAAGAGCGAGTTTATCATCAAGAAGCTGCGGTAGCTGCTCAGCAGCATCAAATGGCGATGGCCGCCGCCACGGCAGCTGGAATGATAAAGACTGAAGATGGTAATTTTATGAGACCGTCTTTGCAAGTATATAAAACTCATTTGTATAACTAAACGTCGCGTTTCCGTGAATGTTGCAGTGAAATGTGTCACGGTCGCGCAAATGCAGCAAATGCAGAAACCCGGTGGACCGCCTACCTCGCCCGGGGGATCAGTGATGGATTTGTCTACCTCCAGTGTTACGTCCACTAGCCCGCAGGTTAGTTAAAGATAATACGATAAATATGTACAAAAAGTATTGAGATCTTTGTGTTCATCATCAATGACGCGATTTACAGGCACCACCCTACGGTTCGAACAGCCTCAGTCCACAATATGGAGGAGGGCAGACGGTGGGAAGTAGTCCTCAGGCTGCAGCGAGTCCCCACTTAACGGCTAGTCCTCAAGTTCCTAGTCCCCAGGGTCAGACTCTCGATCTTAGCGTCAATAGACTCCACAGGTATATGTTAATTTTCATATTTATAGTTATCAACAAATACTAAGAATAAAGTCTGAGAAAATACAGACAATAGGAACAAACAGTTTTTAATAAGTTGAAATCTGTTATTCCCTGCTCCTATGTGCTTTTTAATTGTGTCTCAGATTTAAGATTTAAAAATCTCAGCTTTAGGAAAATTGTTTTCAAGCTAGCATTAAAAAATAAAAATTATTTTAATAGAGGATTTAAAGTAAACAGAATAGTGCTAACAATAAGTATAATAGAAATTTATAATAAAACCATTATAGTACTTAGGACAAATAGATGAAAAAGATATATATTTATTTCTATTGCAGCGGTGCACCCAGTCCGCAGTATTCTACCGGCCATGGGGAAGCTGTCGCGGTTCCAGTGGGTCCGGGTTTTCCAGCTCCACGACCGATCGAAGAACAAACGGAGCCCGTTGATTTCTCAACGGCGAACGAGCCGGTCAATTTCAGCGGGGGTCCGGGGATCAGGCCTGTACCCGGGTTTCCGCCGCCTGGAGTGCACGTCACGGCGTATAGTCGCGAAAGCACACCCGACAGCGGGGGTTCCCACTACATGGACGCCTACCGAGATCCCACCGGTGAGTTATCATCATTTATCACATAACTCTGCGGACAATCTACGATCCGCATTCCAAAGACGTTTTATGATCACATTTAATAGCATAGTTATACAAAATCATTGTGTAAAGTTATTAAATTTATTAATTTGTAAAACTCATTAGTTAAAAAATATTTTTTAACAGTTTTCTGAAGTAATTAAACGGGCATGTATTATGTTGTTTTTTGTTTCGAATTAATAATATTTAACGTAAAAGCTTATCTTTGTATAAACCTCGATATCAAGAAGCATTACCTTACTTATTGGAATACTTGTAACAATGATATAATCTCTAATATTTAAACATTACCGTTTTGCTATGCAACAACGTTGAATCATAATTCACTGCGACAATTTGATGACGGAGAATCGTTTGCACGATTGATAATGTCAGATGAAGATGAAATAGAGCGAAAAAAGCAAACATGGAAAAGGACGCGACAGGGTGTCCTTAACACTATAAATTTTAACTGGTATATGTACACACCCCATACATACACATACACACACACGCGTGCGCGCGCGCGCGCGTGCACACGGGAGATACACGCGAAGCGTTAATGTGTCCTTACACAGGCGTCGTGTAACGTCAGGTGATAGCGGGGGAGACGCGGAGGAGGTGCGTGGACGAGGGATTCGGAAGAGAACAAAGAGCCCGACGCCCCCGGGGGTCGGCAAGGGTGGCGAGGGACGTAGATAGGGATGGGGGACGATACGCGGTTACAACCGTCGAATAAAAATTCACCAGAACAGTACATGACTGCCATAATAGGCACCTATGGCCGAACTCTCATTTTCCTCGGTCTCTCTGTACCTTGGCATTCCAAACCCGCGGCCGATTCTCCCCCTTCTCTCTCTCTCTCTCTCTCTCTCTCTCTCTCTCTCTCTCTCTCTCTCTCTCTCTCACTCTTTCTCTTTCTCTCTGATCGTTTCCCTCGTTTTCTCCGTTTCCATCTCTCTCTTTCTCTCTCCCTTCGTCCTTCGGCCTGAATGTGCACCGTGCGCACCCTTCCCGTCGAACCACCCCCCTGTGACGGTACACGGCCATTGTTAATTATCAATATTTCGCGTACACGTAGCGCCGGCAAAAGTCCGGCGCGGCCGATATTGTGCGGACTCTGACGCTGGGGAGTAGTTATTGAAATTGAAACATTCGAGCACACACAGCGCCGTGTTCCCCGGCCTCGACGCACACAGGGCACCGCCGTGTTCACGCGACGTCGCGCGAGCGCGCACAGTCGGCCTTCCGTCCGTCGGCTATTTGCATTGCGTGCTCTCTCGACAAAATGAATTCTTGCCAGTAAATAAACGTGTAGATTTTACAACAGTTAATCAAGCAGCGGGCTGCTCCTGTAGTGCGCCTGTGTTCGCGCTACTTCCGCGTCTCCCGTTCGAGTGCGATTACATGGCATGTATGTACGTATTTAGGCAGAGTGTCCTAGAAATCATACACTTTTCCATATATCGTAAAAATCAAATTAAAGATCATACTAACTCGCTCGGTATCAACATCTCAGTAGATATATCAATTTGTGAATTATTATTTGTATTATCTACAGAGAATTAATGGATTTTCTAACAAAGTAAATGTTGAAAACAGAAATGGATAAAAGGAAATAACAAGTAATCTTTTCCCTCAATACGTTTCAAATTGTCAATACTTCATTATAAATTTATCTTAATATTTAATTATCAAAGTATCCAATATCGAAGAAATTGAAAAGCATGTTATTAAGATTTTTTTATTGAATATAATATCGCGCATTTTCCAAGTAAGATATACTTTCTGTTTCACACTGGGTCAACATATTTTTACTTTTAGGAAACTGTCGATTGTTACATTTTTTATTTATATGCAACCTCTGATGAAATGTCAGGTTATGGACCCATGAGTCCTCATCCAGGATACGGGATGACCGGCGTTCAACCCGAATATCCCGGAAACACGTACACCCCTTACCCAACTGCAGGTTATAACTGCGGTGGAACTTACCCAGGCGGCCCAGTGACTTCCGGTTATCAGATTCCAGCGGGTTACACTCCGGCACCATGTTACAGCATGCCGCCCCCACAGCATACGGTTGGACCCCTTGATAAACCATCTGGCAAGGACGACAGGTAGGATATCTCTTTTATCCCTTTTCAATGGAATATCGCGATTGCGAGCAATCCGGTTCACAGCAAACTTTTATTTATGTACTGTAAATATGAGTTTATGTCCGTCGGTGAAATACAAATCGTTATTTTAAATTAAACGTTTGAGAGAGTAAAAAATTTTATTTCAAGATTTTAATACTATTTTAATATCTACTATTTTTTTTTTTTTATTTGAAGAATACATTCATTAAATCTATCAGATTAGCCGATATTTTCATTGCGTATTTAGCATCTCATGCATTTTTCTTTAATTTGAAATTTGTTCTTCCACTGTATTCAATATATATTATTTTGATGAAACTTAAAACCAAATAGTCATCCATTTGTAACGCTAGATACGCGATGAGAATCCAAATCGTTATTTAGCGTGAGGTAGCACTATTAGAGAATACGTCCACACGTCGTGCAGGCGAGCATCGCGAGTTCTCGCCTTGGTACTTACTTGCCTTGCCGAAAGGATCGCACGAATCCTTCACGCGATAGATTCGTGGCCGAAGCTTGAAAAGGCGTGGAGACAGTGGCGG